TTATATGATCAAAACATACAACTTTCATATGTTGGTATCATATATTTAATATTAATATATGCATCTTCTCCTCCATTTTTTTCAAGTGTTTCTAATGTTTCTTAGATTAGATCAGATAGATTTTCATTTTTTCTTTATGAATAATCAATTTTATCTCCAATATTTACTAAATAAATAAATAAATAGAGATATACATCTTTTATTCTTATACATATTCATAACTGGTAATATTTATCTATAATAAGGAACTAATGCTTCTCCTATCATTTAACCACTTTTAACCAATTTTTATATTTTCTTTAATGTAATACACATAATATCATGATTCTTTGTTGCTAAAGCTTCTATTTAAGAATTTATATATTATAAATATATACTTTTAATAGGAATGATTAATTATGGTAATACTGATAATATCTTAGTTTCTCCTTTTTATAATAATTCTTCACATCCATTAACAGCTAAGAATTTGTAAGGATCTTCAGTTTCTCTTAGTCCTTCAAAGAATATTGGAAGATATAAATGATAATCTAAACATTCAGGTTCACATTTCCAAACTATTTTTCTTACAGCTCCACTAAAATTAACTGCAATTGGAAGATCTCCTCTATCATAATATTTTTTAAATAGAGTCTATTCAATCATTGGTAAAGCTTGAAAGATACCTGATTTTGGAACTTTTTAAGGTGCTTATGCTTTCTTAGGAGCTAATGATGATGTCACTAATAAGTTATATAACTTATAAATTATTACTTCCACCTGTTCCTGCAAATTTATTACTAATGTTCAATAAATTTGAACAGAATTTACCTGGTGATCTTTAAGGAGAATGTCCTTAGATTGGTTTTATTCTTTTATTACTTACTTATTATTATTGCATTCTAATATTTATTTTATATTAATTATTTATTTAGCAATTCACAATCCATAGTTACTTTTTGATAATAATTCAGTATAAATATTCTAATCAGTTATTTAGACTCGCCCAAGACTTAAATAATTAATTTCTTCTGTTGGCATGCACTATATTATCTATATTCTAAACTGGCTGACTTTTCAACAAATGGAATTAATTAAGTGCATTCTTGTCCGTAAAATAGATAGTTCAACTCAAATGACTAGAAGAGTTGCAATAAATATCATTTTTTTAATATTCTAAACAATAAATATAATCTAACGATAATATTATTTGAAAAAATAAAGGAATGCTTCGTACAAATATGTCAATAGTTAATCTTAATCATTAATAGAGTTCAAGCTCTCTATTATAAGCCTTAGTTAATTAGAGGCCAAAATCATCATAAAAATCGCATTCACAAAAAAGAGTACCTTCTGCGAAATCTAGTAAAACCAGCCAAATTGGCTAACCAAGTTATAAGGTACTTTTCAATTTTAATAAAATTTAGTTGGTCACATCTTCTCTATGTTAACCTATACCAAATTTAAAACAAGAAGTATCTTAACGAACAAATGAGACCTTAAAGCCAACGTAAAATTTCTTATGATTTATAGTGATAATTCTACAACTGAGCCCCTATAATCTTAAAGAATTTAAGAGTAATAAAGTGAAAAGAAAACAAATAAAAAAACATCCTTAATATAAAGAACAATATTTGGGTAGAGTGCTGCATCTTTGGGAATAAAATAAAAGACAGTTAAATTAACAAGAGAATCTAGAAGTAATAGCAAAAAAGAAGTGCAATAATCAATAATTGAAGAATCAACATAATAATAGTAAGTTACGAAGGAAATAGAAAATGCTGAGGCTACTTAAAAATTAGAATAATTGATCTCAAAATACAAAAATACCTCTTTTTTTAATTAAAGTTCACAATAGAATTAATATCAAGCATAACTAGTAAGTCCATAAATAGTTCTAAGTGTTTCTTAACCTAAAGAAAATTAATCTCTTTAAACCACTTAATAAACCTTATTATCATAAGCATCTTTAGCAGTCTTGTCAGAGTAAGATTAGAATTTAAATACAGCTTTTTCATAATCAACTAATTTATAAGTTAATTAAACTTAAATAAACAAGTATGTAACAAGAATCTCAAGAGGGGCAAATTTTATTCCATAAAAATAGAATTCTAATTCAGTTAATACTTCAGTAAATACTAAACCAACAAGAAAAAGAATGAATTCGCCATTACATGGTTAAAGAAGGTCTAAAGAAAATTCTATTGTTACAGAATCATTAGTGAGTCATAGAGAATCAAAATCTAAACTAAGAAATTTGTCAGGAGATAGAAAATTTACACCTGCTCAAAAGGTAAACTTAGGACCATAAGTACCTTTTTAAGAGTTTTAATATTATATGTCATTTGCTAGATTTTTTCATAAAGATAAAAAATTTGAAACTTAAATAAAGCAACTATTTAATAATAGTATTAAAACATAGCAATACTTCTCTGAAATTTATATAGATCATATTTAATAAAGCTTTCACGCTTTATAGTTTTGTAAAGACGCTTAAAAACCTAAACTAGAAGATATAAAATAAAAAATTGTAAATTTACCTCCTAATAGATGTATATATATATTAGTATATAATTAGTCGCAAAAAGTATTGTTTTTGATTTAGATGAAACTTTGATTCATTGCTAAGAATCAAATGATGATCCAAGTGACATAGTATTAACTATAAAGTTTCCTACTGGAGAAACAGTGGATGCTGGAATTAATATTAGACCATATTGTAAAGAGATGCTTTAACTTCTATCATAAAAATATGAAATCATAGTATTTACAGCATCACATGAATGCTACGCTTAAAAAGTATTGAATTATCTGGATCCAGATAAAAAATTTATCCATCACAGATTTTTCAGAGATAGTTGTATTGTGATTTAAGATGGATTACATGTCAAAGATTTAAGAATAATAGGGAATAGAAATTTAAAGGATATGGTATTAATAGATAATGCTTCATATTCATTTTGCTTTTAATAGGACAATGGTATTCCCATAATACCATTCTATGACAATGCCTTAGATAAAGAACTTGTTTACTTAACAACATATTTGATGGATCTAATGTAGGATCAAGATATTCCATAAAAGAATTCGAATAATTTCAAGACTTAATTGTACTCACAAGATATCACTTTTGAATAGTTAATTACAAAGCTATGATAATTTATATCTATTTATATTAACTGTTTCAATTAATTTTAATAATATATTCTAAATTTCACTTCCAAAAAAAATCAATATTTTAGATATAAGTTGATAAAGTAGAATACAAAGTTATGTAGAGGAAATTCAATATTTAATTTGGAAGATACGAACATATTTAGATAAATTTTTATAAGTTTGATAGGATTGGGAATAAATCTTAAAAAATATAAATTATGAAGTGGAGTTTATTAAAGTTATCTAAATCAAATAATTCTGTTTTAGAAACTCATATAATCTATTTGGTTGCTTAAGATTAAGTTAATTTGTACATTAAGAATTGACATTAATTCTGAAACCTTAATTTAGGTATTGGCATTTGGAAGATTTATGTCCTTAATCACAATGATTAACAACACTTCATAGCTATTTATAGATCAATAAGAAAAGTCTTAAAAGATAAGTTAATGTGAGGTTATAAAGTATTTGTTATGTTATGAACATGATAACATACTAAATAATTAGTGTTATTGCTTACTTAAATTTTGTTGGATGACGTATTATCGAGAGATAAAAGTATGTTGATCTAAGTGTATTAAGCTTTATTATTTACCAAAATTTCATAAACTCATGCCCATTCTCGCTGATTTAAAATATTAAGTTGAACTATAAATGAAGAAACAATAGTCTAATAGAGTTGGTCCAAGTCCGAAAGAGAAAGTGATGTTCCTCACACGCGTTTTGTATGAGAAAAAATCTTTAAAAGAAGTATTATGCTCAAGTTTACATTTTTAGGCTTGCCAAGAATTACAAATGTCTTACTCCTGGGGTAAGGCCATATGGTCTGAACACATATCCCAATATAATAAAACAAAAAAACTATATAAAAAAAATGATTCTCCCAAAACTCCTCCCAGCGAGACTGAGTAAGTGACAAAGAAGGTTGCGGGCATCAAAATCCTCCCAAAGGGACAACACATTACTAAACAATTTCACATCCAAGTGCTAATTCACGGAAATCCCATCAAAACTAAAGCAACTGATTGAGAATAGAAGGCAAGTTGGATTTTGCATTCTTTTGTTTTTCTTAATTCATGCTTTTCAGACTAATTCTCCTTCTGGAGAATTTGATTTGGAATTGCATAATTATATATAAATTTTATAATTTTTATTTTGCTTTACAAGCAGCTCTCAACTTAATTTGATAGAGCTAATTTATTCTATCAAAGCCTCTAGAAATACACATTCTTTTGAAATCAAATAATTTGATTTAGAAAGAAAATTTGATTTCAATCATAATTCTTAACTAATTTCTTAAGATTTAATCTAATAGAATTATGGCTTCGATGAGATTCATACTATCTTTATCCTAGTGTACTGTATTTTATTTTAGATATCAAATTTTGATAAACTAGTTCACTTTTAAAATAACACCTTTAAGTAAATTTTAAAATAATTTATGACATAAAATCATTATCCTCAATCATTTAATCTTACCCAACCAACAATGACATCATCTGCACTTCCATCATAATCCTTACATTTTTCTTAAGGCTGAAGTCCTGTGATTTCTCTTTCATTTATTATGTATACCAATCCAAAATTACTAAGTGATACTTTTAATTTTCTCGCATATTAATTAGAATCCCATATATCATCATAATTTTATTCACCTATAGTAATAAATGGTTCTTCTGCTCCTAACTGCACATCCAAAACCACAGCAACATGTCCATATGGAAAATAAGGCTCTCTTTTATTCCAAATTAATAAATCACCCGATCTAATATTAGTGGTCCTCCCATTGTAAAACTTAGTTAAATTTCTATATTTTCCATTCTTGTAATCAGTTGCATAAGTTAAGTTAAAGATTTAATCTGCTGTATCGACATCAGGAAAAGCTGATCCGTATTTTTAAATCCAATAGTTCCTAGCAAAATGAACACATTGATATCTAATTTTAAATTAAGTATACCTCATTCCAACATATACAGTTTAATTAAATCCTGTCTCATTTGGTTGCAGAAAGTGTTAAAGCTCATCAATATGTTACATATCATTTTGGCATGAATATGCTGGAACTCCATTACCTTTACCAACAAGTACTCCAAAATCAGGAATTTATGATTCCCCTTTAATATAAAATATTGATATACATTATTTTCTAAAATAGAAACATGAATAGCATTATCCCAAGTAGCAATAATGATCTCCATCACATTAGTCTTTACAATCAAGTCTGAGTGCTGCTGTAAGAGTTAAAAGCAAGAATCTATTACTAATACACAATAAATTACATCATCAATTTCAAATTTTTTTATTTATTTATAATCTTCTAATTTTTAAATGAACTCAGCCAAATATCTCCTTTTAGATAATATTACTATTAGTTTACTTTTAAAAAACAGAGAACATTTTCTAAAGTATTCAATTATTTTTAATTCAAAAATGATCTAAAACTTTATTTTGATGCTATCAACAAATTTTGCATTTCAACCTAACTATCATTTTGATTTGCTATAAGATAAGAAAATAATTTGAATTCTCTTTATTGTTCAATATTTCATTAAAAAGGTCTTTAGAGATAATATTTGATCTATTTCCAAAATTAATTATCCCCTTTTCCTAGTGTTTAATTTAACTAAAAGTAACTTTCTAACTATCTAAATTGTTATTACAAGGAAGATGATTTCTTTATACAAAACAGAATCAAACAAAACCTAGGTTAAAATGTCATATAATTATCTGGATAATCATATATATCAAGATTTTATCAAGATGAAATAATATTTTTGATTAATTTTACTAAAGCTATTATAATTTGATTTATTTACTTTTATTAATTTTACTTATAATAAGAATTACCACAAAATATAGTATTAGAAAATAATAAAATAGTAAGAATTTATAAACTTATAAAATTCATCTAAGAAATTTTTTGGGTTAATGTTATGATTTTCCTTTAATTTACTTTAGCTCTTTTTCTAAAGCCATTACTCTCTTTTAATTAGCATCTTTTAGGAAAGTTATCTCTTGGGATAATCTTTTTACTTTAAATTCTAATTCCTATTTCTCTTACTTATAAATTGCTAACACTTCATTTTATTCGCAAATTAATTTTTCTAATTTTTCATTTTGTGCTAACAATCTCAATGTAGCATCAATAAATTATTGCTATTTATTGTCCTCTTTTTCTATTTTCTCAGTTTGTACTCTTAAGGATGGTGAAGTACATTGAACACTTTTTACTGTATCTCTCATACTAAGATTAGTTGGTTATGAAATTATAAAAGATTAATGATTGGATATTAATTTTGGACTGTTAAATGATTGATTGACTGAGAGATTTAATTAATGATTTTAGATTTGTTAACTATCATTCAATACTGACCTTCTATTTGAGATATTTTAATTTAATCTGGCTGCCATTGTTTAGATAGTCTAAATATGAGCTCGTTATTATCTCATAAATAATTTTTAAAATTAATTATTTACGAGAATTTATTAATTATTAAAATTACTCAATCAATCATTTGTAGAGAATTATTTCGGAATTATGCTCAGATTTTTTGCGGCGAATCTAGTCTTAGGATAGATTTAATGATTTATTAGATCTTTAGGCTGATGTTGTAAAATCTTTATTTGGATCATAATATGATATTGGTTTTTACGAAACTTATTAATAAGCTTATTATTGCTATTAAATAAGTTGTTAATTTCTAAATTATAGCTATGGCAAAAAAGATAAATTTGAGACAAACTTATTTTATTTTATGATTTATGGACTTTATGATTTTAATTATAAATTAGGTAATTATGGAAGCTTTCTTGGTGATTAACAAGTAGTATTATAAACTCTGTGAATTACTTAAATTTACTCATTTGTCAATTTATCTGCCTAAATACATTCTATTCTTTTCAATTGATGGTTATTTATAGTCTATCTAATTGATTGATTAAACAACTTTAATTAACTCCAAATGTAAAATCCCCCTCTTTGTAAAACTATATATATTTATAAATTACAATATTTATCAGAATGCTTGATGAATTTTTTTTTCAAAATAATATGCATAGCCCAAAAATTATCAAAATCTAAATCTAAAATTGCTTTGTAATTTGAATGCAGTCTTTTTTTTAACTTTTTTTATTGAGCTCTTAATTATAATTTTAATTCTCTTTCAGGATTAATATAAATTTATTATTGTTATTACATCAATTGTTGTTGATAAGATTATTATTAAGATTAAGCTACTAGTAATTTATCGATCATTGAGACAGATCTGAGGATGATAGCAGGCTTTTAATAAACCAAAGAGTTTGATTATTCTCTCTATTTACTAGTTTTTCTTTATATCCACAACTTAGTTTTAGGACTTTCATTTGATTCTGAGTCTTATAGATCAATTTATTTTTATTATTCATTAACTATTTGTTTTTGATGTTGTTACTGTTCAGAAAGTTTTGCTTTTATTTTTGAAATAACAATTGCAGATGTAGTTTAAATTAAGTTATGAAAATCTTCCCTAGATTTATTAACTAAAATCTTAATTAAGACTAAAGCTGAAGTCATCTGCAATAAGGATAATATAAAATACTTTAAATTCCTAATCCATCATAAGTTATTGAATTTATTATAAAATTTCTATATTATTCTCCGCCATGAAATACTATTTAAACATTAATAATAGATCTTTAGTATCTTTTTAATTAAATCTTACTATTTGCATCTCTGGTTTGAATAGTTTTATTATAGTTTGACAAAATTTATAAATATACATTCTTTCCGGAAGATTTAAAGTAGTAATTTTTGAAAGATATTCTAAAATTTTGTTTTCTTCATCCTAACGAGGTTTATCATGCTTTTTCATAGCTATAACTTTAAATCCCATTTATCTAAGAGATTGTTAAACTTAATTGAATTCAACATCATAGTTCTTTTAATTAGCTTAAACCTATTAATTTATTGTTGCCATCACTCGAATATCTTCAGATCTTTCTTAAATCAATCTTAAGAGAATGTCAAGTTAATTAAAGTTAGCCTCCATCCTGTTGAAATCTAAGTTTATTAAATAAATTTAATATCGAATTTATAATTCAAAGTCCTTGTATCAATTACTAGATGAACTTATAAGATTATCAAAATCAATTAAAATATTTGATTGACATACGAAATACCATAATTAAGAGAAACATTCAAATAATCAAAAACATTAATTAAAATTAAAACAAAGAGCTTTCTCATCTTTTAGTTTATAAATTGACTTTTATAAGAATTTTATTTATCTAAAAACGATACTCCTTTATTTTCTAAAGTGAGCTAATAATGAATTTTTTTTTTGAAATTAGATAAGAAACATTGTTGTGTACTTAAAAGCAGCAATAATAACTGGTGAAAAGAGTTTAAAAGATAAATTATAAATAAAACATAAATATAATTAATATAATATAAATATTAGAATGCAATAATAGNCTTAAAAAGGTACTTATGGTCCTAAGTTTACCTTTTGAGCAGGTGTAAATTTTCTATCTCCTGACAAATTTCTTAGTTTAGATTTTGATTCTCTATGACTCACTAATGATTCTGTAACAATAGAATTTTCTTTAGACCTTCTTTAACCATGTAATGGCGAATTCATTCTTTTTCTTGTTGGTTTAGTATTTACTGAAGTATTAACTGAATTAGAATTCTATTTTTATGGAATAAAATTTGCCCCTCTTGAGATTCTTGTTACATACTTGTTTATTTAAGTTTAATTAACTTATAAATTAGTTGATTATGAAAAAGCTGTATTTAAATTCTAATCTTACTCTGACAAGACTGCTAAAGATGCTTATGATAATAAGGTTTATTAAGTGGTTTAAAGAGATTAATTTTCTTTAGGTTAAGAAACACTTAGAACTATTTATGGACTTACTAGTTATGCTTGATATTAATTCTATTGTGAACTTTAATTAAAAAAAGAGGTATTTTTGTATTTTGAGATCAATTATTCTAATTTTTAAGTAGCCTCAGCATTTTCTATTTCCTTCGTAACTTACTATTATTATGTTGATTCTTCAATTATTGATTATTGCACTTCTTTTTTGCTATTACTTCTAGATTCTCTTGTTAATTTAACTGTCTTTTATTTTATTCCCAAAGATGCAGCACTCTACCCAAATATTGTTCTTTATATTAAGGATGTTTTTTTATTTGTTTTCTTTTCACTTTATTACTCTTAAATTCTTTAAGATTATAGGGGCTCAGTTGTAGAATTATCACTATAAATCATAAGAAATTTTACGTTGGCTTTAAGGTCTCATTTGTTCGTTAAGATACTTCTTGTTTTAAATTTGGTATAGGTTAACATAGAGAAGATGTGACCAACTAAATTTTATTAAAATTGAAAAGTACCTTATAACTTGGTTAGCCAATTTGGCTGGTTTTACTAGATTTCGCAGAAGGTACTCTTTTTTGTGAATGCGATTTTTATGATGATTTTGGCCTCTAATTAACTAAGGCTTATAATAGAGAGCTTGAACTCTATTAATGATTAAGATTAACTATTGACATATTTGTACGAAGCATTCCTTTATTTTTTCAAATAATATTATCGTTAGATTATATTTATTGTTTAGAATATTAAAAAAATGATATTTATTGCAACTCTTCTAGTCATTTGAGTTGAACTATCTATTTTACGGACAAGAATGCACTTAATTAATTCCATTTGTTGAAAAGTCAGCCAGTTTAGAATATAGATAATATAGTGCATGCCAACAGAAGAAATTAATTATTTAAGTCTTGGGCGAGTCTAAATAACTGATTAGAATATTTATACTGAATTATTATCAAAAAGTAACTATGGATTGTGAATTGCTAAATAAATAATTAATATAAAATAAATATTAGAATGCAATAATAATAAGTAAGTAATAAAAGAATAAAACCAATCTAAGGACATTCTCCTTAAAGATCACCAGGTAAATTCTGTTCAAATTTATTGAACATTAGTAATAAATTTGCAGGAACAGGTGGAAGTAATAATTTATAAGTTATATAACTTATTAGTGACATCATCATTAGCTCCTAAGAAAGCATAAGCACCTTAAAAAGTTCCAAAATCAGGTATCTTTCAAGCTTTACCAATGATTGAATAGACTCTATTTAAAAAATATTATGATAGAGGAGATCTTCCAATTGCAGTTAATTTTAGTGGAGCTGTAAGAAAAATAGTTTGGAAATGTGAACCTGAATGTTTAGATTATCATTTATATCTTCCAATATTCTTTGAAGGACTAAGAGAAACTGAAGATCCTTACAAATTCTTAGCTGTTAATGGATGTGAAGAATTATTATAAAAAGGAGAAACTAAGATATTATCAGTATTACCATAATTAATCATTCCTATTAAAAGTATATATTTATAATATATAAATTCTTAAATAGAAGCTTTAGCAACAAAGAATCATGATATTATGTGTATTACATTAAAGAAAATATAAAAATTGGTTAAAAGTGGTTAAATGATAGGAGAAGCATTAGTTCCTTATTATAGATAAATATTACCAGTTATGAATATGTATAAGAATAAAAGATGTATATCTCTATTTATTTATTTATTTAGTAAATATTGGAGATAAAATTGATTATTCATAAAGAAAAAATGAAAATCTATCTGATCTAATCTAAGAAACATTAGAAACACTTGAAAAAAATGGAGGAGAAGATGCATATATTAATATTAAATATATGATACCAACATATGAAAGTTGTATGTTTTGATCATATAATATTTTATATGCAATTTAATACAATATTAATGATAAATTATTGTAAAGTATGTCCCTTTAAAAAATTAAATGAATTATTTATTTAAAAATCTGAAGATATTCCATTGATATTATAAAAAATATTTTAATATATATTTATTCTATAATATGTAAAGAATAAAGACAAAGCAAATTATGTCTCAAAATAGTTGGATTAAAAGAGAATATTGATTTTAAATCACTAGACAAAAACTATTAGAAGAAATTTATGATAGCTTTGGCATTTTGGAAGCCTGAGAGAAACTTAAACTTACATAAATCGAAGACTTTAATGAGAAACAAGTAAAAATTAATTTTCAAATTTTTTAGTAAAGTTTATTTCTAAAAAATCTTAAATTAAATAATTTATGAAATCCTTTATCCTAATAATATCTGCTCTAGTTTTATTATGCAGAAATCAAATTGTTATTTAAAATTTTCCTTTCGTTTTAGAATTAAATAAGGTCAGCATATAGTTTTATAAGAGAATAAAAAATTAAAAAAAAGACTTTATTCCAAAGAACTTATATTATATTTAATATAATTGAAAAAATACAAGATTCAATCATAAATTTTGGAAAATACACATTCATTCATTTAAAATAGGAATATGTTCTTTGATAAGATATAAATATTTAATACTTAAAGCTAAGAGTATTAAATAATAGGAGGATTCATTAATATTTTTAATAGATTATTTTTTATTTTCTTTTTATCAAACAATAGAATGATTCAATCAAAAAATAAAATAAAAATTCTCAAAAATAATAAAAACTCTTTTCACTAATAATATCTCTTTTTCATACATGAAATTGGAAAGCATTCATTAAAACCCTTGATTTAATTTAGCCTAAGTTAATAGCACTCATTTAATAATAATTTTATATAAATTTTGCTATAAGTATATTTTTCAATAATCTAGCATATTCACAGGTGGATTGAAAGCAACTAAGATAGATAATCCTTTCCATCATCTAATTTATCTAGGGCATCTTCTATAAGATCATTTCGTATATAGTTAATCAAATCATCTTGATCTTGACACCTCAAAATTTCAACTTATTGCATTTTAAGTAATTAAATGATAACAGTCTACAAAATTGCTTTTTTTGTATTTAATTTATTTTACATTCTTTTTCATACAAGAAAATATCAATTATTCTAAGTGCCAACTCCTTCCTGACAAGCTAAAACAAGGAAAATATATAGGAGTCAAAACAATCTTGTGGTTTGACTTTTAATTCTTACATTTTATAATAAATTAATGGAACTTCAAACTATATTCTTTTATCAATAATTTCTAGTATTGTCATATCCATTAAAAATACTTTAAATAATATGAAATTTTAATACCTTTTCGATAATTTTGGATATTTAAAATATGGTTTAAAATAATGAAGCTTAACTCCTCTTATTCTAATTATTATAGTATTGAAGATGCTATAAAATTCATTCCCTTTACATATTTAACTTCCTTATCTAAATTAGAATATGCAATTAGAATCCTTTTTAATTTATCTAATTTCTCCTAATCAACTTTTTCTAGTTCCGAATTTTTATCTGATAAGCTTGAATCAGATGAACCAGAAAATCTCTTTGAATTGCCTTTTTATCGAAAACTTCCATTCAGATCTTTAATTATGTGTTATTCAGATGGTGTCTCATATTAGAGTTTTTAATATAGCACATTTTTGATTCTAGCTTTTTCTGTAAGCCAAATCCAAACTTGACATCTTAGATCTAAAGGAAAATTATGTCTCAGATTATAACTTAATTCAGAATAGCCTTAATCCTCTGAAGATCCTTTTAAAATTTCTATCCATCGTTCCTTAGTAAACTTAGGACATATTTCACTGCTTCTTTATTTTGGTTTTGATTTAGATCTATGTGGGGATTCACCCGTTTTTATTCTTTTTGCATTACAACACATTAACATATTATTTTAATTAACATTATAAGTTTGTGTTATAATTAGAATCAAATATATATTTTCTCTTTTTTTTTAAACAAATAATATTACAAAATAAATTTTAGTGAAAATGTATTATTATGAAGAAAAAAGAAAATAGGACGAAATCTATACACCTAAATACAACTAAAAAGATTAATATTACTAACAATCAAAATGTTATCAATCAAATTAATAGCCCTAAAAGGTACAGAGAAATACTTAATAAAGAGAATAAAGAATAATAGAATAGAAGAAAATTGAGAGAAAAAATGAAAAATAAATTCAGAAATAAAAAAAAGAATAATTCAACCTTTTTTTTTAGACAATTTCGGATAAAGATCAAAATAAAGTTATTTAAGAATTATATAATCAAAATAATCTTAAAGATCTATTTTTCAATTTAAGAATATGTGCGAACTCATATGATTCATATACTAGTTTAATAAAAAATTTAAGAGAAGCATATTAATAAAATTTTAATGTGATACTTAGCTGTTCAAACTTTAACACTATAATTTTCTAGAGATGCACTTTGCTATAATTATATCAAAACTCAATTGAAGATTTGGATTAAAAATTGATAGATTTGTATCATTTATTTTTCACTATGAAAGATCTTGATTATCAAGCCCTAAAGCAATCTAGCATTGCTAGTGTATACAATCTATTAAAAATCATAGAAGTATATAACCCCAAGCTTTAAAGTAAAATAAGTTCAATATGTAATAAATTTGATAAACTTTTAAATTAAATATACTCCTCCAACTAATTTTTAGAATGGTAGTAAATTCCAATTTATCCTGTAGCTTTAGAATTTTTTCCTAATTCTGGTATGCACAGTTAATTATTTGGGAAATTAGAAATTCTTTCTAAAGAAAATACAAATGTTCATAGATATATTGATTATCATTTTAACCTATTAAGAGAAGATTACGTATTAGAATTTAAAGAAGCAATAATTAGTTTAAATGAATTAGGATTTGAAAATATTGACAAATCAAAAACAAGTCAAATAAAGTTGTATCATGATTTAGAATTGTTATAAGTAAATATGAATAATTTTGAAATCATGTGGAAAATTTAAGTGAAATAATTTAATTTTGATGGAAAAGGAATGAAAAAAATAAATTGGGAAAAATCTAATATACTAATGCCTGGTTCATTAATATGTTTAACTAATATAGAATGTTATCCATTAATATTTGGAGTAATAACAAAAAGGGATAAATATTAATCTGAATATGAATATGGTTTAATATAATTAGAATTTTCATTTATTGATCCTAATACATCAATAATGCAATTTTTTAATTTATTCTCTTAAAAAACAATACTCATTTAATTTGATGGTTTGGTTGAACCAATACACTACTATTTATAAGCTTTGAAATCAAAAACAAGTTTACCCTTTTAAAATATTATTGTTGAAAATTAAAACGATGTTAAATACCCTGAATATTTAAATAATAAATAGAAATTTGAAATTGATCTTTCAAAAAATGATTAATATAGAGGTTATATCTTCAATATATTGAATCCTATATGGCCAGAATTAAACTCAACTTTGGATGGATCTCAATTAAATGCAATTAAAATAATGCTTTAAAAATAAGTAGCTTTAATCTAAGGTCCTCCTGGAACAGGTAAAACCTATTGTGGAGCTCTCGCTGTTAGAATACTTTATCAAAATTTACTGAATAATAATTTTCCTATATTAATAGTTTGTTATACAAATCATGCCTTGGATTAGTTTTTAGAACATATAATAAAATTTGTTCCTATCGAAGATGTGGCAAGATTGGGAGGAGCTTCAAAACATCCAGAATTATAAAAATGTTAAATTAGATGTAGATAGAAAATTGACTTTGAATTTTAAATTTTCAACAAGTTGAAATAGAAAATCAGCAAATTAATTGAAAGAATGTTAAAATATGATTATATAATTCGACCGAAAGATATTAAAAAATATTGGCCAGAGCTATAAAATATCATTATTAAAAAATTCATTGAGGATAATGATTTAAATTATGAATTTTTTATTAATTAGTAAGAATAAGACTAATTGGTGAATTATTGGATTGAATGTGATAATTCAGAAGATGATACACTTGAAAATAGCTAATAAGATGAAATGTCTAATTATTTTAAAATGGATCAGTTTTATTAAGAATCTGAATAATTTAAGCATTTAATAAAAAGTGACTGTTTATAATAATAGTAGTTTTATAGTGAAGATGAGGATTTAAATATTTATTTAGATTCAGATGATGAAGCACACTCTTATAATAATTATTATAAAGAAGCTAATTTTGATCTAATTGCTGTGGATAATGCAATAAAATAATTTAATGAAAAGTAACAAAATTTTTAATTACTTCATTATGATGTTTAATCAATACAAAAGATAATTAATTATGTTTTTCATCAAAAAGGTAATCCTTGGTATTTAAATCCTAATGACATAGAATAGATCTTAATTTATTTAGAAAGTCTTAGATATTAAAATGATAGTGTTAAATTTAGTCGTTTATATCAATAATTTATAGATTTATCTAATAATCTTAAAGAATTATATGATGAAAATGAAATCAAAATATTGAATAGTATGAAAATAGTAGGAGTAACAGTTACTGGTGTTGCTAAATAAGCAAAAAAATTAGAAAAATTAAATACAAAAATTATGATTATAGAGGAAGCTGCTGAAGTTTTGGAATCTCATGTTGCTAGTATACTTACTAAAAATTTATAACATTTGATTCTAATTGGAGATCATCAATAATTAAAACCAAAATTAAAAAATTATTCCTTATAAATGAAATTAAAAAATGCTGATGTATCTTTATTTGAAAGATTATTTTTTAATGACATTCCAAGTGCTATACTTACTTAATAAAGAAGAATGAAATCTAAATTTGCAGATTTTATACGATTAATATATAGTAATTCATATTAAGATCATCCAGATATTAATAAATAAAATAATATTGAAATTCAAGGTTTGGAGAAAGATTTAGTGTTTTTTAATCATAAATGGCCTGAAGCCTCAAATGAAAAATCAAAAGAAAATAAATTAGAAGCTTAAATGATATTTGAAATGGTTCAATATCTTTGTAAGTGTGGTTATTAATAAACTTAAATTAGTGTACTTACTTTATATTTGAGACAGGCTTAAGTATTAAAAAGTTAATTTTTTAAATCTGGATATAATAATATAATAGTATAAACAGTAGATAATTATTAAGGAGAAGAAAATGATATTGTGATATTATCTTTAGTAAGAAACAATTAAAATAATAAATTAGGATATATTTAAATAGAAAATCGAATTAATGTAGCTTTATCAAGAGCAAGAATAGGTTTATACGTATTTGGAAATTTTGATTTTATTTATAAAGCTTCAATCAATGGTAGTTTATGGTAAAAAATAATATAATTGGCTANATTTTGATCTAATTGCTGTGGATAATGCAATAAAATAATTTAATGAAAAGTAACAAAATTTTTAATTACTTCATTATGATGTTTAATCAATACAAAAGATAATTAATTATGTTTTTCATCAAAAAGGTAATCCTTGGTATTTAAATCCTAATGACATAGAATAGATCTTAATTTATTTAGAAAGTCTTAGATATTAAAATGATAGTGTTAAATTTAGTCGTTTATATCAATAATTTATAGATTTATCTAATAATCTTAAAGAATTATATGATGAAAATGAAATCAAAATATTGAATAGTATGAAAATAGTAGGAGTAACAGTTACTGGTGTTGCTAAATAAGCAAAAAAATTAGAAAAATTAAATACAAAAATTATGATTATAGAGGAAGCTGCTGAAGTTTTGGAATCTCATGTTGCTAGTATACTTACTAAAAATTTATAACATTTGATTCTAATTGGAGATCATCAATAATTAAAACCAAAATTAAAAAATTATTCCTTATAAATGAAATTAAAAAATGCTGATGTATCTTTATTTGAAAGATTATTTTTTAATGACATTCCAAGTGCTATACTTACTTAATAAAGAAGAATGAAATCTAAATTTGCAGATTTTATACGATTAATATATAGTAATTCATATTAAGATCATCCAGATATTAATAAATAAAATAATATTGAAATTCAAGGTTTGGAGAAAGATTTAGTGTTTTTTAATCATAAATGGCCTGAAGCCTCAAATGAAAAATCAAAAGAAAATAAATTAGAAGCTTAAATGATATTTGAAATGGTTCAATATCTTTGTAAGTGTGGTTATTAATAAACTTAAATTAGTGTACTTACTTTATATTTGAGACAGGCTTAAGTATTAAAAAGTTAATTTTTTAAATCTGGATATAATAATATAATAGTATAAACAGTAGATAATTATTAAGGAGAAGAAAATGATATTGTGATATTATCTTTAGTAAGAAACAATTAAAATAATAAATTAGGATATATTTAAATAGAAAATCGAATTAATGTAGCTTTATCAAGAGCAAGAATAGGTTTATACGTATTTGGAAATTTTGATTTTATTTATAAAGCTTCAATCAATGGTAGTTTATGGTAAAAAATAATATAATTGGCTAAGATTAAGGATTATTTGAACGATTATATTAATACTAAATGTATTCCCCATGGTAATCTACAAAAAATAAAGTACCCTGAAGATTGGAAGAAAATTAAACCATTTTTTTGTAATAAAAAATGTCTAAAAATGTATTCTAATTGCAATCATTTATGCAATTTGGATTGTCATATCAGTGATTACCATTCAGAAGAATCCTGTCCATTTTAATGTGATCGAGTAATGTAATGTGGACATAAATGTAAATTATTATGTAAAGATAAATGCTAATGCAAAGAAATAATTGATTTATAATTGTCTTGTGAACACCAAATAAAAACAATTTGTGGAACAAATCCTTAAACATAAAAATGTTTAAAAGAGGTTTAAATATAATATCCTAAATGTCTTCATATAAAAAAATTTATTTGTTATCAAAGGGATAATTATATATTTTGTTAATAACAATGCGAAAGAATTCTTAACTGTGGGCATACTTGTAATAAAATTTGTTATGTTGATTGTGGAAATTGTATGTAGGAATGTAATAAAGTAAGGCCATGTGGACATAAAACTAAATGCAAAAATTTTTGTTATGAAGATTGTTCACCTTGTGATTTTCCAGTTTAGACTGAATTAGACTGTGGACATACAATTGAATTTCCATGTATTTCATAGAAGAAAGATTAATAAAATCATATATGCTAATAAAATTGTAGAAAAAAGAGAGAATGTGGTCATTATTTATAAATTTGTGAAAATAAATGTCATGAATAATGTTCCCCATGTTATTTTTCAATAGAAAAATAATTAAAATGTGGTCATTATGTAATTGTAAATTGCTTTGAAGCTGATAATAAAGAATAAGAAATCAGATGTATAGAAGCATGTCAAAAACCAAGATAATGTGGACATGATTAAGCCTGTCTAAATAAATGTTATTAAGAATGTTCACCTTGTTAAGTGATGATACCAAAAATACTTAACTGTGGACATTCAATCTAAATAGAATGTTATAAATAAAATTAAGAATATTAATGTTAATAAACATGTACTAGAAAAAGAGATTGTAATCATGATTAATAATGCACAAATTTATGTTATGAATAATGTTCACCATGCATTTAAATAATTAATCACACTTTGCCATGTAATCATAATCATTATTTTGAATGTCATTCATTTAACATCTCACTTCAATAATTTATTTGTCATGAACCGTGTTTATTATAAAGATCATGTGGCCATACTAGTGTATGTTTATCAAAATGTTATGAAAATAAATGCTCCCCATGTTTATAAATAGTAAATAAAAAGTTAGATTGTGGACACATAATAGAAATAAAATGTTGTGAATTTTAATAAACATAAATATGCTAAGAGCCCTGTAATAAAATTAGAGAATGTGGTCATATCAATCTATGTAAAAAATTATGTATTGAACCATGTTAACCATGTGAATAAGCTTTTCTAAAGACCTTACCTTGTAGTCATTAGTGTCTTGTTAATTGTTATTAATAATCCTAACCTATTAATTGTAAAGAAAATTGCATAAAAATTAGAGAATGTGGTCATTATTATCCATGTACTAATTTGTGTTTTGAAACTTGTACACCTTGTAAATCAGTAGTATTATAGAAACTTAAATGTGAACATTATATTGATATTGAATGCAGTTAAATTTCTCTTGTTTAATTGAATTATAAATGCTCTTAATAGTGTATTAAAACCAGAATGTGTGGTCATAATTATCCTTGTTATAATATTTGTTACACTAATAATGAATGTACTCCTTGTTAAGCTAACATTTAAAAAAATTTAGTTTGTGGTCATTAATTCTAAATCAAGTGCTTTTAAAGGATGTAAAAATTTAATATATTATGTGATATGCCTTGTAAAAAATAAAGATCTTGTGGACATAATATATCTTGTCAAAATAAATGTTATGAACCTTGCTCACCTTGCACTTAACTATGTGAGGTTGTCTTAAAATGTGGTCATTATTAATCTATTAAATGCTTTTAAAAAGATGATTAAAGTGTATTGAATAAAATATAATGTTTATTCCCATGTACAAAAAAAAGTAATTGTGGTCATAATTCTAATTGTACAAAATAATGTTATTAATAATGTGATCCATGCTCATAATAGGTCTAAATACTTTTAAATTGTGGTCATTTTTACAAAGCTTTTTGTTAATAGGATCCAAATACTATTAAATGTTAAGAACTTTGTAAAATTTAATTAAACTGTGGTCATCCTTGCTAATAAATTTGTGGAACTCCATGTTTAAGATGTGAATAGAAAATTCTTAAAATATTCCCAAAATGTTTTCATCAACTTGAAATAAAATGTTATGAAAATAATTAAATTTTACTATGTTAATAATAAATTTCAGTTAGTAAATCTTGTAACAACCATTTTGCTTAGATTAAATGTTGTGAACAAGATTAATCTATTTTAGAATGTCAAGAATGCAAAAATAAAAATTGCAAAATATTTTGATAATTTATTACATTTTTTAATTGTTAAATTCATATAAAATATAAATTAATTTTTCGAATTCTTGAAATTAAGAGTTATTGTAAATATAGAAATTTATAATATAACCCTTATTAAATAAAGTTTCACCATAATTTATTTATAATTAGATATTGATTTTAGATAGATATAAATTGATATATCATAGTTTTTCAATTAAAAATTGAAATTACTCAAACTAAAACTAAACCAGGGTCTATTGTATTTTAATTATATTTATAAAAATTCAGTATTTAATTTTAATATAAAGATTGTAATCATATTATAAATTATTTTACTTCATTGAACATATGTCTATACATTATTTTTTAGTGATTTATTATATTCTATATAATAGACATTTTACAAATAACAAACATATTGAATATAATTTATTTATTATATTAATCATTTAATGGGAGTTTGCTCTGGGAAACAGCAACCAATTAGACAAAACAAGCAACATTTAAGCGAAATAAAAAGATTTGCTAAACAAAACATAAGATAATTTTACCGATTTGGAAAGGTTTTAGGATCAGGAAGTTTCGGTACTGTAAAAGTGGGTTTCAGTGTCAGAGATTCGAAAGCCTTTGCAATAAAGACTATTCATAAAGTAAACACGATGGTCCAAGTAGTATCGAATGCGAGAATAATTCTACCTTGTACTTAGAGAGTTAGACATCCTTACACAATTGGATCATCCAAATATCATTAAAGTATTTGAAGAATATGAAGATGACATGTATTATCACTTTGTGATGGAATATTGTAGTGGAGGAGAATTGTTAGAAAGAATAGTGGAGTAAGGTATTTTAAACAACATTATAATCAATTTTAGGTTATATTGGAGAATCTGAATCCAAAGTTATTATGTAACAATTGTTTTCGGCAATTAATTATCTTCATTCTATGGGAATAGCTCATAGAGATCTAAAACCAGAAAATATTCTGTTTGCCTCAAAGGAAAAAGATGCTCCAATAAAGGTAATAGATTTTGGTTTGAGCAAGAAATTTAGAAATATTAATTAAAAGCTTTAGAGAATGAATAGTAAGGTAGGGACTCCAATTTATGTAGCACCTGAAATCATAGCTGGAGAGTAAAAATTAATTTAATTATAGTTATTCTTTTTAATGTGATGAATGGTCTTTAGGTTGTATCATGCATGTATTGCTTTGTGGAAATCCACCATTCTAGGCTAAGAAATTAGATAAGTTAGAAGTTTAAATCAAATATTCTGATGTTGATTTCTCTTTTTCTGTATTTGATCATGTATCTTCTGACGCTAAGGATTTGATTAAAAACTTATTAGTAAAATAACCTAAAAAGAGAATTACCTGTGAAAAAGCATTAGAACATTAATGGTTTAAAAATATGAAATAAAGTTCACATTAATCAAAATTAACCAATAATGATCATTAAAAAATAATCAGATTATTACATACTTATGCCAATTCATCTAAATTAAAAAAAGAAACACTTAAAATATTAATAAATTAACTTACATAAAGTCAAATATCTTAATTAAAAGAAGTCTTTATTACTTATGATAAGGATTGCAATGGTACAATCTCTATTTAAGAATTATTATAAATTATGGCAAATCTAGGATTTAAGAAAAGTGAAGAGGAACTTGTTTAGATGATTAAAAAATTTAATAATATCAATCCTTCTAATGATGATATTACCTAAGATACATAAATTACATATACTTCATTTTTGAGTGCCTTAGTGAATTGTAAAAGTTTTTTAAACAAAGAAAGATTATGGAATCTATTCAAATATTTTGATAGTGATAATAAAAACTTTATTACAATAGAGGATGTGAGAAAAGCCTTTGAGAGAGAAGGAAGACAATTATCTTAATCGAAATTGATTTCTTTATTTTAAGAAATAATGTAAAATGAGGAACAGAAAACAATTGATTTTGAGTAGTTTTGTCAAATGATGTAAGATAATTTATATAACAGTAATCATGATAAAAACAATCTGGAATAAGAATTAGATTGCTTTGAAAATTGACTTATATATAAATTAATCTAAGACTATTTTTATATATATATATTCTAATAATTTATTAAAGTTGTTTATTAATCTTTAAATTTAATATTTTTATTTTAAAGATTAGCTAATATATGTAATTATATTTTATGATTTCATTTCATTTTTTTAATTAATGAAAGACAATTATTTTATTTCATTTATTTTTCTCAAACCAATATTTTATTATTAATAATTAGATTTGAAATTTTCAAGTTAGCAAAACTTAGTTCATTTCATATAATTATTAATTTAAATTGATTATGAGATACTATTAAGATTTACTAATTTAAATATTAAATTTTCAATAAGTGAATTATGATTTAAATAGAAATTATATAGGAAGAATGGTTTTATAACATAGTTTGAAAGAAAAATACAAAATATTGATACCTATCTTTAGAAATAAGCATAATATTTATTAATTATGATAATTACTTGAATTGATTTAATTTAGATTATGTTCAAATACAGAATGAATAAAAAATAATCTAAAAGCAAATTATCTATTATTAAAATACAATATTATCAATTTGAATTATATTATTATGTTAATTTATTAATCAATTATAAATGAATTTGATTAATAAATTTAATAATTTTCGAAGATAATTTCTTTTAATTTTGTTTAAGGGATTAACAGAAATAATTAAATTTAAGTATTAAAATTCTGGAATAATTCTAAATTGAATTTGAATTGAAAAATGGAAATTAATATATTTTTTAGTTTACTCCATATTATAATATACATATAAATTTATCTTTTTCTTTCTTCTCTTGATAAATTGATGGGGAATTATTCGATAATAATTGAAGTATTTAAGGTTTTAGTAGTAATTTTTACAATAAAAAATTAATTGAAAAATTATGAGCAATTATTTTTTAAATTCAGGACTTAAAAGGGATGGCTAATTGGAATTAATACCTGAACATGTTCGTTTTAATTTAACATAATTAACACCATCTGATGTTGGGATAGTTTAATTTTAAATAATATTAGCAGAACAGGAATAAAATATCATTGAATTAATTGATATTCAAGATAATCTTGGAAATCCTTTGATAAAAATAACATTAAAATAAAGAGAACTTATAATTCAATATTTGGAAAATACCTACAAATTTCCAATTCAATAAATCATTTTATACAAATTGTATCCAATATTTATATCATTCCATGATGAGATTAATTTGATTACAAATTTTAATGTTCAAAGTTAAAAACTTCAATAGAGATTTGCTTATACATCCAATAAGATGGGAATATTTTTAGGAAGTAGAAGTAATTTGAATGCCTTTACAGGAATAACAAGAAATTTATAGATTAGATTTGTAAGAGAAAATGAATTAAAAATGCAAATAGAAGGTGAAATAAAGATGTAAAAATCTATTCTTAATGATTTAAATGATATTGGATAGATAAAATATAAATTACCATTTAGCAAACCATTATAATCAATAGAAGAGTTAGATAATTGGAAACCTAATGAAGAATATACAATACTTCCAATTTAATAACTAAAGAAAATTACAAGAACAACAAATTAACCTTTATTAGTATGTCATGATATGTAAGGTGGATATAAAGAAGATATTTGGTGTTTTGGAAATGCAATGAGATAAAATAGTTATCGTTTTTATTACATGACCCATTGTGACATTTTTGTTTATTTTTCACATACTTTTATTACTATTCCAACTGTACCATATATTAATATTTGTCATCAATTTGGTACTAGGATATTAGGAACCATTATTACAGAAGGAGATGATAATACATTGACTAATTAAATATTAAATTTAAAATATGTTGATAAACTAGTTTAAATTTGTTAATTCTATAAGTTTGATGGTTATTTATTGAATATAGAAACAAATGTTGATAACGTAGATTTATTTATATAATTTATAAAAGAATTAAGTGATAAATTATAATCAATAGGAGCTATTTTGATGTATTATGATAGTCATAATGCTGAAGGAATTTTAAAATGGTAATCTGAATTGAATGAAGACAATATGAAATACTTTTAAGCTTGTAATTACTTTTTTAGTGATTATCATTGGAATTTGAATAAATTATCTAATACAGAAAAGAATGCTGGAAATTAAAAGAATAATGTATTCGTAGGAATTGATATATGGGGTAGAGGACAATATGGAGGTGGATAATTTGATAGTCATATAGCATTGTAAGAGATAAAAAAAGCATAATTAGCCACAGCCATTTTTGGTTAAGCTTGGACTTATGAGACCTCAAATGATAGTAGGTCATAGTTTATTTAAAATGATAATTCATTATGGTAAGGTAAAAATACTGTATCTTTATTTGATAAACATAAAAATCAATGGGTAATTACATCTAATGGAGGATCTGGATGGAAAATAGTACAAGAAAATGGAGAAGAGACTGCTATTGCATCTTTTGATTGGTGTATCAGAACTTATACAATTTAATTAAATTTAGTATCTTCAAATAAAGGAGGTATTATATAATTCAATGCAAGAGTAAAAGGAACTGGTCCAAAATTTGAGGATTTATATGTAATTAATAATAATATTATGATTAGCTAATTGGAATAGAATTATATGATAGATAAAATAAATGTATTGCAAGTATAGATTCATTTTCAACAAAGGTGAATAAGAAAGAAATTTAATTTAATATTGATAATGTTAATGTTGCTGATGATAAATGGAGAGAACATACTTTAAGTATTAAAACTACAGATGATACATAATATGTTAAATTTATAGAAGTAGGAAAAGATGTTGAATTATGGGCTGGTAATTATGGTACTTAATTTACTGGTGAATCTATGGTTTATATTAGTTATGATAGTAATAAGGATCTATTAAGAATGATAAAACCAAAAACTTATTAAGAATTCCCATTATAAACATATTTCAATAATGCTGTTGGAGAAGCCTATTATATTGATGGTCAAAAGTTTACACATTATAAGGGTTACTATGATAATTTGAATGATTTTGATTATTCCTTATGTTATCCTACAAAAAAGATTGTGAGTTAAGATATACAAGATAATTGGGAGAGTAGTATAACTTTTAGTGATGCATGGAATGGAAGTAGTTGTATAAAAATTAAAGGAGATTTGTAAGTTAATAAAAGTTTTCTTATAAAATTATTCAAAACTAGAATTGATCCTTAAGGTAATATAAGTGCAAGTATCAATATGAAGAATTTTGATAAAAAGATTTTATCATTAAGTTTGGTTTTTAAATTTGGAGATAAGGGTTTGTAAACTTTTAAACCAACTAAAATATTAACAAATAAGGGTTGGGATATTGCATAATACACAATTTTAAATTAAGGGAAAAGTTTGAAATCTGTTTATCTAAAAATTGAGAATATTTCTTAGCAATAATAAGCAGTTGATGGTTTAATTGGAGGTTTAGCCATTTATGATGATAGATTTACAGAATAAATGAAGATTGCCAATGTAGATTTCAAAGATCCAACTAAATATATCAAGAATATCTAGTTGAAAGAGAGTGTTACAAATCTCTATGATTTATATATCTAATTAGAATTAGGAGATTTATAACCACTCCTTAAAACTATCAGAGTCTTTAAGTATATTATTATGTATTACAAAATATAGTGATAAATAATGGATTGGAAATGTAAGATCTAATTATGCTTATTTCCCTGAACTACCTTTTGATGGAAAAGAAATGTTTGTCAAATTATAGATTATTTTAAATAATGGAAACCACATCAAGGCTGAATCTGTTCTGCCACATATCCTTTATTCAGATTAAGTTGTTAGATTGCCATGAAATATATATTATTATGCATTTAATTCCAAAATTGACTAAATTAAACAAATCTCAAGAAGACATCTCTGCTATTCAAGATTATCTAAGTCAATTACCATAATTTCAAGTTCCCTATGAAGTTTTGAAAGATGTATAAATAAATTTCAAATATAGTTGTCCAAAACAATAGGATATATTTATTTTGAAACTGGTCAAATAGTCTAATAAAATAATAAATTTGCATTATATGTAATTAAAGGATTACTCTAAATAGAAGACAATATATAAATTCTACCTGAAATGTGGTATGATGGAGATTTAGGTTTTGAAGTTAAAGTATTTATTAATTCATATTCAATTCTAGTAAGATACCCATTGTTTTGCTTTACCATTATATTTATACAAAAAGTTTAGCTCTATTCATGGTGTTTAGTATTAATAAAAGAAAAAATCAATAATAGCCAACTTACCTATTATAGAAAAAATTGCTACAAAAATATAATAATAATTGATAAGAGTATTCTAGGAGGTCAAATTTGCACATACAGATTTCATATTAAAAATGGATGAACCTGGAAATGCATTATTTATTCTGCAATAAGGAGTTTTAAGTCTAAGTAAAAACTATTAAAAAGGTCTTTCACATTATGAAAAATAAGTGTTACCTCGAAAATTTTGGTTTAATGAAATTGTTATATGCGAATTAATTGATTAAGGTATTTTAGGAGAAGAATTTACTTAATAAGAAAAGGCTTTATATAATGTTTAAGTAATATCTAAATCTGCTTCTCTTTTAATGATATCAATGTAATAACTTAAAAATATATCTCCATAAGTTATTTAATATGTTACTAAAATGTTTAAAGATAAAACTATTTTGAGAGATGAGATATTTAAATAAAAATGTCAATAATTAGAAAAAAATTGGTAAAATACAAATAAAGATTAAATGCTAAATTAAGATATATAAAAAACTATATCCTTTAAAGTTTTTTCTAAATAACCTTCTAGTTCCCAAGATTAACAAAGTCAAACTAATGATGATCAATTTGGAGCTCTATTTGGAAATTTATCCTATAAAAAGATGCCAACATTCATTTAATAATACTTCAAATAGAAACATATTAAACATAATAAAATGCAAGATCAATATCAATTAAATTATTCAAATTCAACCTCTATAAATCATATTGATTCAACTTTTGACCCATTCATTTTACTTTAAAAAACATAATAAAAAATGATAGTTTAATCATGTTCTTTAAATAAATAAAATGGTTTTCGTTTAACTTAAACAAGATAGATGGATAGAAAATCTGAATTAACAAAATCATAGTAAATTAGACCAAATACTACTCAAATTAATGTTTAATAATAATCTTCTATAGTATAAATTTTGTAATAATAGTAATAACAATAATAATAATAATAATAATAATAATAATAATAATAATAATAATAATAATAATAATAATAATAATAATAATAATAATAATAATAATATTAATCAATAAATTAACTAGATATTGTATCTAAATAGTAATTAAATATATAAAAAACAATTTTATAGAATTTTCATATCCAAAAACCTATTATCAGATAATTAAAAAGAATTTAAAGGAGTTCTTCTGTTCATAAGATAGATAATATTCCCTTCTCTCTAATACCTTCACATAAAAATAAAAGTAATTTGAATAAATATATAGCTCCTAGAGATAATATGTTTTATCTAAATTAATAATAAAATTATTTAGGCCAAAGAAACAAAGTTAACTAATTATTGCATAATTCAATAGATTGATTTATATATATATATATAATTATAATTTCATAAAGGTGATAATGATTATCTACAACTAGGACATGATAATTTGATTGACATCCACTTGACTAGACAAAGTACATGAAATTTATGATCCTTTTATAATTACATTTCTTTATACACATGGAGTTTTCATATAATGATTTTTTTATTTTTTCATGGCTTCTTTTATCATGTAATTTCGTTCTTCTTAGTTAGTTAATCTTATTGCAGGTACTTAATGAAGTGCTCCCATACAAATAGAACATTCCTCATGAAATAAATGCTAATATTATAATGCTTATTTAATTTACTGCATATTCTGAAGATGGTCCTTCCTCTAAGTCAAAAGAAGTTGGTATTTTGTAATAATAATTATATTTTTGTGGAAAACAAATCTTAGGTACAAAAAATTAAGGACCCCATTCATTTTATAATATATGCACTCCAATCTATATTCCTATACTTACAAAAATGCAAATGAGTGATATTGGCATTGGTTTTAGAGAGAATAAATTATTCCAATAAAATCGAAAGTAAGCATAATAGAGTAATCGTGGCAATAAAAATCCACAAATCAATTTAAAATTAAATCTAACAATTTATCCTCTTTAAGCAGCATGAGTAATCTATGGTACTAAGTATAAGCTTAAAAAAAATAATAGCCATGATGATAAAACATACTCATAGATTAAATACATGCTGCCAAACATACAAAAGTACAAAATTAAGTAAAATTTAATCATTTAATTTCTAAAACTTTAATCATTTCTAACTCTACTTTTCCAAATTATCATTAATATTCTCATTTCAAATATTGAGAATAATAAAAATTAAAGAAAGGATGGAGTTATAAAATACTAGAATAAATATTCTGATTGCATAGCTTAAAAGAAATTCAAAAAACACATGTATAAATCTTGAACCATAACAAAGCCTATAGAAAACATGCTATATTCTTCAGGATTATCCAACCCTTCAATCAAAGCTCTAAGTATTCTCAATCCATAAATCATACAACATAAACAAACAACACTATTCAAAAATGAATAAGTTATCACTTAACTCTCAACCTCCTCTGTATTATCTTTAACTGATCCTAAAAACATTTAATGAAAATTCTGACATTATGTTTCTACTCTCACATCCATAATTAATTATTCTGCAAAACTTATATTCATATTATTAGTAATATTCTTTAATTCCATTATTAATTCATTTTAACAACCTATTACTCTTATATTTAATAATACCTGTTGTATCATTATTTTGTACTTTTAAAATTAAAGGAGTATTAAAAGTTTTAGCATATTCAACAACATTCAGATAAAATTAAAATTATTGTTATGGGTCATCAAGGTATGGACTATTAGAAAATAGTACACTTATGTTAAAATCTGGTTTTAATTGACTGTACTGATATACATGGAAATGTGTATAAGTTCTATTTAATTATCCTTTAAAATGTCTTTCAGCAAAAAATGACAAGAATTAGTATAAATAGCATTCAGTTGAGGGTTTATTAGTTGAATTTTCTATTATCATAATAATGAATACAAATATAATTAAGCATATTTTAGTCTCCAGAGACATTAAGGCATTTATTCAGACTATTATGATGAACCTCTGAATCTTCAGTATAAGTTACGGAGTACATGATCATAGCTGAGATGCTCAAGAAAATAAGAAACTTGATTCCTATATGAATGTATTGTGGATCATACGTCTTGTTCTAACATCATTTCCTTACTCTACTTGATTATGTGGCAACATTATAATAATTTATTTTAAATAATATAATATGTTTAGGAATTATTAAAATATCTATTTTTCCTTATTTAATAATATGATTACAAGTATTTAAAATATATATTTCATTTAAATTATAAGTAAATCTAAGAGATTTTATGGTTTGCACAATTCACTCTATTTAGTTTGATTTTAAACTTCTTAAATTCATTATTAATATTAATTCTTGAAAATATTTAAATAATGAAGAAACTCATTTAAACAGAGAAATTATACAAATATATTTTATTAAACTAAAGCAATTCAAGTTTAATCTTTTTATAATCATTTTATTTATCATCATTTCTTTTTATGTACTATTGGGGCATGAATTGGTGTAACTTATTTAATTTGTTGGCTTTATGTGTGTTTATGTGCTGGTGTTTATTAAACAGGTTTATTGGGAACTAATTATAATTTTAATCCATTTGTTTTTGGTTGTTCTCTTACACTCATTCTTTCTGCTTATGTTTTAAGTTCATCAATTTCATCAATATCATCATTATCATTCATTTTTGGACTTGGTGATGCAGATAACGACCTTGCAGGACTTGAAGGCAATCTCTAATTAAGTTATTTATCAAGTTTTATGATCATTTAAGTAATTTAAACAAATGCATATGAAACTGAATATTAATTACTAAATTAATGAATTGATTATACTCTTATTATATTTCATTATATTTTTGAATCCAATAATTAGCTATTTACATGTTTTTAGATGTAATTTAATTTTTATTAATAAACTCCTTAAATTTTCTTAAGTTTTCCAAAAATTTCTCAACATCATTTAAAAACATATGTAATAAACTCCAATTGAGATTCTATATAAATAATTTAATTTACTTTTTCATCTAATAGTTCGCAAGGTATCTCTCTAATAAGTCCAGCAAATAAAGAGACAAGAGCAGCAGTTGCAAAAATATTCATTGAAGATGGATTTACCATTTTATGTAAAAGCTAAATAAAAATTAATTATTACACTAAGGGCTCTATGATCAAGAGCATTGACTTAATCTAAGACATATTAAAAAGTGACCACTTATGGTTTAATTGATTATCGATTATAATTACCTCTAAACATAAAATGTTATTAAAATTAATGAATATTAATTAAAAAACTCAGTATATATTTATAATCAATTTTTTATACCAAACTTAGAGTTATTTAAACATATTTTCAAATACTTTTATTTAGATTTGTTAAATTTTGAATTTAATTTCAACTTTATAATTTAAATATATTGATTATCTCTTTAAATATGATTAGATTACAAATTTATAAATAATATTTATAATTATATTTTATTCTCTACGATGATATTTAATAAACTCAAAACATATCCGGTTATTGATTTTACTCTACTGATTCAATTTTTTAATTATCATCTTAGTGATTATCAGTTAACAAATTTTCATCTTCTTTTTATTCTTAATTAACTTCATTCTAAAATTGATTTTATACTACTTAATCCTAAACAACTTCTTATTCTTAATTAACTATTTCTTAATGATTAACTTATTACTATTCATTCTATTCAGAATGATTTTCTTAAGATTATTTTTCTGCAGAATTTTATTCTTATGGTACTTACGCTTTCTATTATTGTTATTAAAATTATTCATCAGTTTAATTTTAATTTCCAGATTAAATAACAGGTTTAGAACCTTTTTTAACTATTTTTTTATCATCTTATTTATTATCAACTTTCTTTTCAGGTTATTTTGAATTATTACTTTTTTATATTCCATTTTATTTCAATTCTTATTGTTTTTCATTTTTTTTAGGTTATTCTTTTTATTTTTCTATTTATGGAAGTTAAGAAGATTAAGATTATTTATTAGGTTTAATTTTATCTATTTTCTTTTCATCTTTCTTTTCATCTTTCTGAGCATTTGCTTATTTTTATTGTTAATCTAAATGAATTATATAAAAATTATACCTTAATTTTAAGTTTTTGTTTCTTTTTAGTCTTTTTATTCTGGTTGTTTAACAGGTTTTGGTTTATGTTAAGGAGGTTATTATTATGTAGTTTTAGGTTGCTTATCAACAGATTATCTTGGAGATTTTGGAGTAGCTAATTTTGAATAATGAATTTACTATTATCCGCTTCATTCTTAGTTGTCTTATCTACCAATACACTTTGACTTAAATTCTTGCTTCCTGTTTATGGCTTTTGTTCTTTTTATTTATTTTACTCATTTTTTTGTTATATTGCTGTTTAAGGACGATCAGGCTTTTTATGATCTAATTTTCCAGATATAATCATTTTTACCATTATTATTACCATTGATTTCTTACTTCTATTATTACTTTACTTATTCTAATTATAATTTAAATGATAATACTTTTCTCTTCAATTGGCTTAAGAGTAGAAACCAATATTTTGAGTTAACTGATTTCTCCTGCCAAAAATTTGATCTGATCCTCATTCTACTAATCCTTTTATTTTAATTCTTCAATTTTCTCAAGGAGTGGTTTAATTGCTTCTTAGAGGTATTGGTCAACTTCTGGAGAAATCTATTACATATCCAATTTCAAATTTATATTATATTTATTATTTTTTTTCAAAAGAATACTTATTCCTAAAATAAATGTGCGTCATGCAAATTTAATATAAAATTATATTTTTAATTATCATTTAGCATTTTTTTAGGTTGCACAAATTACATAATCTTTGCAAACTGGGCATTATTTTGATTTCAATAACCATTTTTTAATACAATCATAGTGAAATTAATGATTGCAATCTAATCTAATATCAATAGGTTCCTTTTATGGTTAAATCTCTTCCAAACATATAGCACAATTATCTGTAACATTAACTTATACTCTTTTATTTTCTAAAACAAAAATCTTGCTTTTTAATCCTACTTAGTTTTCTAAATCTAATTAAGTAAAATATTCATAAATTTCTTCTGGAGTCATCTAATTAACTTATTAATCAGTAATCGACATCCCAGGTTTGAACTCAAATTATTTTCTATCACTATTGTCACTTATAGCTCTATTTCTTCCAGTATTTCTATCTATTTATCTGTTATAATATTATTTACTTTCAACTTATCTTCTATTTTTAATAATTAATAATTACCTATTTTATTGATGTTCTTTTTATTACTATTATTAAACAATTATTTAAGCCTAGTTTGATTATTTTTTTTATTTTTATGGATTTCTTTTATTTGCAATATTGTCTAATAAAATATTTATAAAAAATTACCTTAATTATTTTTGGATTCTTCAAATTAAATTTTATTAATTATTCTATATTATTCTTTAGAAATAGCAGATTATTTTTATTATTACTATTGTTGTAATTATTATTATTATTATTTAAATTATTATTTTTATAATTCATAATCCCTTTAGTTTTACTTTTAAGTTTGAATATATTATTATACCTCAACTATTTTTGGTTTTTTGCTTTAATGAAGATAACTTTAGTCTTTAAATTGATTTAAAGGGTATTAATATAAATTTTAACATAATTATTAATGATTTAGGAATAATTGTTCTTGACTTTTAAAAGGTTTTATTTAATCGTAATTTAAATTTTATTGATCTTTGACTTAATTGGCCTCCTTAAACTATTAATTCTCTTCTTTTTTTTCTTCTGAATTGTGCTAATTAACAATTGCATTTTGACATATTTTATGGTTTTAATTATTTTTTATCTATTCTTATTTTTCAATTATACTCTATTCTGCTTGCTTAAGTGCAAAAATTTAGTGAAATTCTACTTAATTAAGCTATTAAATTTTTAAATGTTTTTGTTGATGAATATTAAAATAAGGATCTAGATTATGCATTTATTATTAATTATCTTCAAAAAGATTAGGATATTGATATTGTTATTAATTTAAAACTTGTTGAGCCTAAGTTTAAATAGTATTAATAAATGCTTCTTGATTGATAATTTATTAACCTTATTCATTATACTATTTATTTGGTTCAATATGATTTTATTAAATCAAGCTATGTTTATTTTTTTAATCATTTTAATAGATTTATAAATTAACTTTATATTCTAACTGTTCCTATGCTTTTAATTCATTCTTACTTATTTTATATTGGATTCCTTTTATTCAACTTTGGACTAGAAAGGCTATTTTAATTAAGTTGGACCATCTATTTTTTAGATCTGAATTTATTGTTAAATTGGATTAAATTAATATTAATTAGTTTGATTTAATTATTCAAGTGGTTTTTAGTCAATAACTATTTATTGAATAAACTATTCTTATTTTTAATCTGAATTTTTTTATTCTTGATTTATGATTCCAAGACATGTTATTTTATGATTAAGTAGTTAAATAGGACTTATTAACTAGTTACAATTTACACGTTTTTCTGGACCAATCTCATGAATAACTATATTTGTTCTTTTCTATCCCTGCATTTTATAATTTATATTAATAATCTAATAGATATATTAAACTATGATTAAAAATTGTGTTTAGATGTTTTATTTATCATAATAATCTAGAATCAAATAATAGCATAATATAAGAAGAGAAAATCAATCTCAATTTATGAATTAAAAAGATCAAATTAAAAAGTATAATGAAATAGATTATTCAATAAGATTATCTATTTATTTTAAAAACTAAACTTTAAATCTTATAATATTTATTATATGTATATAAAATTCTTCATATTTTAATAATACATTTATTATTCTTGAAATAATAAAATTTATGTTTTAATCTATCTTACTTATAAATCCAGATATAACATAATATTTAAGTATTATTCATTTTAGATTTATGTAGATTAAGTAAATTACATAATTATAATTTATAACTATTAATATATATAATTGTTTGTTGTTAATAAAATAACTTTAGAAAAGAATGATCTAATTTAATGATATATATATATAATTCATAATCACCACCTTATATGAACAATAAGTGAAGCAATCATTAATGCTAATATACAAATAAATCTAGCTATTTTTCCTAGATTTTTCATTTTACTAATTTATCTAATTAATTAATACTTTCTCAACATGAAATATATAAGTATCCATTAAAATATAATCATTTTTGTACTATTATTATACTTTGCTAATAAACCATGATTCAATTCTCTAAAATAACCTTAAAATTAATTATTGAAAATATACTTATTCTTTTATCTTTATTAATCTATTTCTAACACCATGTGGTTATAATATTTTTAACTCTATCAAATTCAACATCATTTTATAATTCATGATATCCTTTATCAAACAATTTTAATGTTTTATCTTTTGATCCAGCTAATCTATAAAGTTCAACAGAATTCATATGACTAGCCACTTTATCCTCTTTACCATGTAAAATTAAGAGTGGTTAAACAAATCTAAAAATTATTTATCAAGTCTTTTACTATTATACATTAGGTAAGATATATTATTCTAATTGTAATATATTATATGCCATTCCAACACTCATAAATGTTTAGACTAGACTATCTTCAGCTACTGATTTGATTACATTGTTGTTTTTACTACAATGACCATAATCAATGTAGGAATTGACCATTAATCCCTATGATTTATTTGTATTATACTGGAATAATCTTATTCATTATAGTGAGTAATGTCTTTTTAAGGATTCCATATTTTTAAGCAAATTGTAGATATGGATTAACAACAATCACTCCTTATAAAATCAAAGAGGGATTCGAAATACAAAAACTTAAACCAACTGCTGCTCCTAATGATTAACATTATAAAAAGATTGGTTATGATCTTTCTATTGTCAATAATATGCATTCCAGATCTTAATGCATTTATTTAATATGAGCATGACTTCTAATGCCTCCAGAATTTCCAAATCCTCTCTAATCATAAAGAATAACTTAAAAGCCTGATTTAGCATATTCATCTGCCACCTAATTTCATCATTCATTTATTATACATGAAAGTATCTTCCAGAATGATCCCCATATCCATGAATAATTACAATAGTGGCTATAGGATTCTATGGAGAACAATATGTAGTATATAAATTCAAACCTTTTGTATATGTAGGAACATATTTTCTAATTACAGTATACATATCTTCATTCCATTCCCCTAAGAATCTATTTGCATATAACTAATTTAATGAACTATTTTATTAATAACCCTAACTTATGCATATAGATGCTTATTATAATTATAATGTCTTACAATTTATTTCTTACATTGAATTCGGTTTAGAAAGATTGTAAACAGTTTCTTATTATCCAAAAGAACTGTTGTTTCTTTTCATTTCTTAATAAATCAAATTTATATGAATATTTTTTATGTTAAAAATTATCATTCCAACTATATTCTTATATTGCTTTAATGTTATTTAATATGATTCATCATAATTTTAGAAATCAATTTTCAACTATGTCTAATTGAGTTTCGTTTGATTTGATTTGTCTCTAATATTAATTTTGTCTGTTTTAATGGAATTATTGGATTTTTTGATGGAATGTGCTAAAATAGAAAGAACTATTGAAATAAGTAGGTAGTTTTTAACTAAATTCCCTTCATTTCATCCTTATTAGACTTTTAAATAAATTGACCAACATGATGAAGTATTATAAATAATTACAATAATAGGGTTATATTACAGCTTAGACAATATAGGTCTTTTTACATAGATTTGGTCATTTACATACACTTAAGGAATGTGGCATATTATTTTACAAACCAGAATTTAAATATGTAGACTTCTTAAGATTTCTACTTCCAACAAATCAACTGTTAAGAGATTATATTTCTCATTCAGATTAAAAAACCTTATAATCAAATGAATGTTTAAAGGAAATAGCAAAACATATAAGCTTAGAAATTGTATTAATGAATAATTTAGTACCACCTTAATCATTAGAAAAATTAGCTAATGGAACTAGAGAAGATATTGAATCTTTATTTAAAAAGGAAAGGTTATTTGTTTATTAAGATGAGATTGATGCAATAATTAAGAGATTAGACTTTTATGGAGATGGTTAAATTGATTTATTATTGTTAAAAAATTGGGTACTTATCCTAAATTAATAAAATAAATCGAAAAATGAAAGAGAATCATCATCTGCATTTGTAACTCCTAAAAAGAAAGTTTAGATAAAAAATGTTATTAAAACAACTGAAAGAAAAGGATCTATTAATAAAACACCTAAACTTATAAATATATCACCTAAAAAAAGAAATTTAATAGAAAAATAAAAATCAACAAAAAAAGTAGTAAATTATGAAATTTAGAAATAAGAAATAAGAGGTAAAATAGCTTAAAAGAAATAAGAAGCATAAACTGAAAAGAAAATGATTAAAGAAGTATTAACAAATAAAAAGAATATTAAAAGTTTATAAAAAATAAAACCTAAATCACCATATGAAATTATAGAATATCTTTTAGATAAAGAAATTAAAATAGAAAAAATTAAACAATAATTAGCTTTGTAAAAAGATTTTAACACTTTGGATGCATTTCATGCTTTGGATGTTTATGGTAAAGGATCTATAGGAGTAGAGGAAATAGATACTCTACTTAATTAGAAATCTGGTCAGAGTGCTCATATTTTTAATAGATTCAACAGTGACTAATTAACATATCATGATTTTTTAAATCTTCTATAACCTTTTTCTGTTAATTTTGCTGAAATACTTAATACTAGATAATCAAATGTTGATGGAAATCAAAAAAAGTTGAATTAGATATTTAGTAATTAAACTATAAAATTATTGATTGAACTATTAACTTTATTGTAATAAATTCCAGTGAAATTAAATGCAGACATTTAATTATTCACTAAAATTGATAATATCACAAGAGATAATTTTATTGGAGTATCAGATGTATATATTTTTTATTATCAATTTTAGTTACAATAATATCTTTATGAAAGTGGACTTAGATACACTCATCATGAGACAATGCTTCTTATAAATGCTTATGATAAAGACAAAGATGGAAGATTATCCTTATAAGAATTCTTAGATATATGATTTGATTTTTCATAATTTAAATTTATACTATATATATATATATACTAAATTACTAATAATAAAGTATTTAGAGATAAATCTTTTTCTTTTAATATATATACTATATTTATATGTCAAGCATTCTATTTTTTATTGTAACTTTATTTTTTTGTTGGTGTTATTTGGGATTGTATGAGTTGCTCAATTTAGAATAATTAAAATTTATCTGTTATAAAATGAATCAACTGAAAAAACATATCTCTGTCAAATGCATCAATTTTAACACTTAATCTACAAACAGTCGGACTAGAAGTATCTCAAATTAGGTTTCCAAGAATTCAACAGACCGTTCTAGATCTGTAACTAAATTATGCCCTGCTATTAAGTAGGATAATATAATATTAATTATTAGATTACCAGTCACTACTAAAAATTCAGAGTCGGTCTCTATATCAAATTCAAAACCAGTATCGAAATTAGGAAAAGTGAAAATTGATCTTGGAAACAAAGCGACATCTAGAAGTTAGCAATCAACTTAAAAATCACGATCAAATAGTCAGATAAGTAAAGAAGAAAGCTTTCCTAAAGTGCTACCTGATTTTGGTAGAATGGAGACTGAACTATTGGATTGTCAAGATTTCATGCTTTAATTACCTGAAATTCAGTTTCCAACTACTGAAGATATAATGAAAGAAAGAATTATTCTTGCTAATAGAATAGCATATACTGTTAAAACAAAGAAACGCATTCCAATTACAACACCAGATTTTTATAAGGTATCGCATCTCTAACCTTAGTAAGGTAGCTCTGTTATGTGATAGGCAAAGGAGCATTTGCAAAGGTATGTTTGGGTATCCAAATATTAACAGGTGCAAAGGTGGCCATGAAGATTATTGAAAAATCAACACTTAAAACAGAGAGTGCTAAAAAAAGATTGTTACTAGTAATTTCTTATATTTCTATTTTAAGGAAATTACTTTAATGAAAATTCTTTCGTAATATTAATAATTTGCTTCTCTTTTTGAAGTCTTTGAAACAAAAAAATAAATTTATATTATTATGGAATATGTTGAAGGAGGTGATTTGATGAAATGGACAAAAGAGAAACCTATATCTGAAGGATAAGCTAAAAATTTATTTGGTTAATTAATATTGGCGTTATAGATACTTTAAAGTCATAATATATTACATAGAGATATTAAATTAGATAATATACTACTTTAAGGAGAATAAATAAAGATTTGTGATTTTGGAGTGAGTAGACAAATTATTAAAGGATAAAAGATATTAGAATAATGTGGAACACCTGCTTATTTAGCACCAGAAGTAATATCAAATAAAACAGGATATGAAGGATTTGCAAGTGATATTTGGAGTTCAGGAGTTTTATTATACATTTTACTTGTTGGAAAAGTACCATTTAAAGGAAATAATATGAATGAATTAAATCATAATATTTAAAATGGTCTACTTAATTTTATGGAAATGAAGAAATATAACTTATCTAATGATGCAGTTGGTAATTTATTATGTAATACTTATATTAGATCTTATAAAATCTATACTTAATGTGAATCCAAAATTAAGAATAACATTAACTGAAATCTTGAATCATTCTTGGCTTAGAGAATTAAATTTGAAATCAAATAAAGTTTTAATGTAGAATTCAAATTTAGATTTGAGAGTCATTTCTTAAATTGAGTAATTTGGTTATTCAAGAGAATTTATTATTAAAAGTTTGTAGAAATAGACTCTATGTCATATTAATGCTATATATTCTATTTTAACAAGAGTTTTAAAATGATTTAAATACTTTATATATATATATAAATTAGTGATTATTATTACATATCAAGTTGCTGGATTTAGATTGGCTAATTCTTCTTTTAACGTTCCTCTTACTTTTGAAATGAATTCTAATTTTATAAATATATTAATAATACCTTCATGAATCAATCCTTAATTAAATACTTCACTATTTATTTTATTTAAACCTTTTACAAAACTTTACATTTTATCTTTAAATTTCATTAATTCTCTTGAAAATTCAATATCAACTCTTCCTTCCTCTCCCTATAGTTTAGATTTGATATTGTAATATTAGGATGCAGTTTCTTTTCCTTAATTCTTTTCATTATCAAGTATGTTTTCTTGCTCTTTAGGCTATTTTCCACTCAAGACATACAATCTATCCTTACTAGATACAACAACATCCATAGGAGGTTTAAGAAAAACATAAGGTTTATTGTTATTTTTAACTTTTTCACCTCTGTAAAGACCAATTGGTATCATTTTTTATTCAGTAAGTAAAATTTCAAAAAGTTCTCCAAATGTTTTCTCTTAATATTTTGGAGGAATATTAATTAGAAATAAATTGCTTTACTGTAATTTGGTTGCTTAATATAATTTTTTATGCTAAAATATATATATAAATATTTAATTACTTTTTTATTAACTGAAGCACTTCCTAAAATCATTTAATCAAAAATACTTGTGATAAATGGATTATAATAAGCTTAACATATTAATGTATCAAGCATAGTGGATATATAAATTTCTCCTGAAGCAAATGGTTCACTTACAGACCAATCATATTTTTAAACATAATTATTTCTAGATATCTATAAAAAAGAAATAGTTGAAATGGAAGCCAATTCAGTTATTATATTGATATTTTAGTTTAATAATTTTACTGTCTTATAAATAAAGATTGTATCAGCATCAACAATATTAGATAAGCCTTCCTCTTAATCAGCAGATTTTTATAAGATCACTAAAGCTGAAGCCTTTTAAATACAAGCTTTTTTTAAATCTTCAGTGTTAAGTGGAGATCCTTATTAAAAATATACTTTAGGAAATTTATTAATTTGTAGTTGTATTTCAGTTGGTATTAAATCTTAATTCAATATTACAATTGGTTAAATATTTTTTAAGGATCTAGCTCTTAGTGGCATCATAAGATATTTCATATCAGTAACAACTCCACATACAATAAAATGATTTTCAAATTTTTCTTGGTCTCCAACTTTAGGGAGTCCTGTTGTTATAGTTTAAGGTTTGACTTGATAATAGGCAGGATGTTTAGATGAATCATCTTTAATACCTTCACTTAGTATTTCCTTTAAGTATTCAGCTTCTTATTATAGTGCATTTTTATTAATTTGTTATCTTTATTAATTGGGAAAGCAATAATTCTTTTAAATATATTCAGGGAATTTTGTCTATTAAATTTCATCAATATTAGGCATTTCATTAGCAATTACATAACCATAATGTAAATAATCTTCAAATAGATATTCAACTGGATTAACAAATACACTGGTACCAGATTCTAATTCTACTTCAAGAGCAAATAAAATAATATTTAATTCTTTATATATTGCTGATGAAATCTATTTTATTATAATCAAAAATTACTTAACTAAATGTTAGACCAACAAATGCTACAGATTCTAATGGAACTCTATAGATTTCATTTTACATTCCACATAAATAATCATCTATCCATTCTCCTTTATTTTTATCATATTTTGTAATATCATATGATGGTTTAGATGATTAAATTAGAAATGATATAAGTGTATTAATACCAGGACATAAACATGTTTTACCTAAAAGATAAAGTTTAAGTTCATCAACACAAATAACTTAATCAGTTTCATGACCACCAAGAGAATTGAAATATAAATCTTTACTAGAAGGTTGAAGTACTTATAAACATACTCTTGCACCTTTTCTGGATTTCTATTTCTTTGCAAATTATTTCACAGCAAATGCATGAATGATATTACGATAATCATCTCTTTTTGGTGTTCTACTTGTTTTATTGGCTAAAACAATTACACAATTACAATCTTTTGAACTACATCTTTCTAGATCTTTATTTTATAATGGATGTCCCTCTAAATAAATTACTTTTGATTATAATGCTGGTTATTTTAATTGAAGAGTCATTTCTTCAGTAGGTGCACAAGGTTAAAGTATAACAGTATTTGTATCATTCATTCCATGATCACTATGATAAAGTTCATTTAAAAATGTTTTAAATCCTTCAACTTAAGATGATCCTAACAATAAAACATGTTCTGATTCTTTTTTTGAAATGTATTTATTTCTTGCATATTAACTTCTTAAACTGTATACTCTAGTTAACATTTCAACTTATGTTGGCAAAACTAGAAACATTATCAAAATAGCAACAATAATCGAAAATCTTCCATAGATTGTTGTTGGATATACATCACCAAATCCAACTGTTGATATTGTTACGACCATAAAATAGATATATTCTACAATTGAATAATCTTGTTCAACAACATAAAGGACTGAAGAATTGATCATTATTATTGCCATGACAGTTACAATTGGTTTGTATGCTAACCTAAATACTCTAAATTAAACCAATTAAATACCTTCCATTGACAGTCTCTATAATACTTTATCTAATTTATAACATAATAAGAAACGTAATACTCTCAACATATATATATATTTGTATCCAGTTATTATATTTAATCTAGCAAGCAATGATGGAAATATTGAAACGTATTCAATTAAAGATGTTGTTTGAAATGTAAAAAACAATTTATTTTCTGAAAGGTAGAAATTAATTACAAAATCAAGAAGGAAATAGATATAACAGATCAATTCTGGAATCTAAAAACTTATTATATGATTTGAATTACTGTAATGATTGCTTATCCTTCTCCAACATCTTAATTTCCACCTTAAACCCAAAATGAACAATCAATTAGATGCAAAACTGTTAAAAGAAAACTCAAGAGCACATTAATTCCATCTAAATAATCTCCAATTCCAGAAGTTGATAAGTACTTTGCCATTTTCAGTGTAAATGTAGTCTTACCTTCTTCATGTTTCTTTGTAGTTGCATCATCTTCAGAATTAACCATTCTAATTAGAGCATACTAATCTTAATGGCTGAAAATAGATTATTTGCCTTCATAGATCATTATTAAAATAATTCAGATTGGTATTCATTAAATTAAATTTAAATCCAAATGATCATTGAAGAGAATGAGTTTGATAAACAAATAGATGATCTCTTAAATAAAGAAAAGACAGCACGTTTAGCCAATAATCTAGTTGAAACACTTAAAGTGACTAAATAAATTGCTAGATTGTGTTTTGATACAAAATAATACTCAAAATTTAATGAATTAATAGTATAACTTAGTAAAAAGAGAGGATAACCAAAAAAAGCATAAATTGAACTTGTTTAAATGGCTATGACTGAATTAAAAACACTTCCAATAAATTAAAAATTAGAAATGATAGATGCCATAATGAAAGTATGTGAAAAGAAGATTTACTTAGAAGTTGAGTATGCTCGTTGTGTATTGATGCTCACATAATATAAAGAAGATGATAATTAAATTGCTGATGCTGCAAAAATATTATAAGAAGTTTAAGTTGAAACTTATGGATCTATGGATAAAAGAGAAAAATTAGAATTCATTTTATATTAAATGAAAATTATGATTAAGAAATTAGATTATGTTAGATTATTCATAATCTCAAAGAAGATTGAACCAAAAAATATTGAAGATGCCAATATAGCAGATCTTAAGATAATTTATTATTCATTCTTAGTTATTTATTATAGACATGAAAATAATTATCAAGAAACAGCTCATGCTTATTCAAAAATATTAGAATCATTACATAAAAATAGATAATTAGAAGCTACAAAAGTTGATTTCAATTTCAAAATTGATTATAATACAATCTTAGAAAATTATGCTTTATATACAATATTAAGTCAATATTCTGATGATAAGGTATATCATAAAATAATATTAATTAGTAAAAATAATTGTAGACTATTATTACAACATATAAATATGGTCTTGAAGCATTACCTAATCTATAATAATTGATTTAAGCTTTTTTAGGAACTGAATTGATTAGCACTGAACCATAAACTCATAATATCCAAGCAGCTGAAATATTTGATGAAGGTATAGAGAATAATCAATAAAGATATAAAGGTATTAATTAAATAAAATATCCTTAGACTTTAGAAGATAATTAATACATCATAATTTAAGAATTTTTTAGATCTATTATGATTCTGTCTACCTTAATAGAATAACAGAGTTAATTGGAATTAGTACTCAAGAATTAGAGGAAGAAATCTGCATAATGATGGATTAAAAAGTATTATTTTTATTTTAATCATATAAGTTACTTAAATGCAAGATTGATAGAATAAAAGGAATAGTTGATTATTAGTTAAAGATGAATGAAAATGATGTATTATAAGAGTGGGGTGACAATGTAAATAAAGTCTTAAATCTTATTGATTTAACAAGTAATTTGATTAAAAGAGAAGAAGAATTGTTTTTATGAGCCAAATCATTCATTATATAAATTTCTATTGTATTATTAAAATAAATTATCACATTTAAATTAAGGTTATGATTTAGTCTTAATCTTCCTGTGCTTGTTTATCTCATTAAGGATTTACAGGTATTTAAGATATAAATATTAAATAATAATGCAAAGTAATGATTTTGAGAAGAATTTTATGTCATAATAATTTAAATTGATTATAATACTATTATTTAATTTTTCAAGGCTTTAAGGCTTGAATTGCTTTGCTCAGGATTTCAGATTGCAGTTTAGGAAATGCAGGATTTATTTGTAGAATCAATTTGCAAATATTTATAGCATCAACGAAACGCTAAGTTTATATGATTTATTTTATACTTTTGCTTTTAAATAATTAAATGCTAATCTATAACCCATAACAGGATTTCTTTGATTTGTTAATTTGAATGCTTTTTCATATGAATTAGAAGCATCAATGTATGATTACTCTTTTTCTTTTATTAAACCCATTAATTCTTCAGCTTTGGCACAACATTTATTTTATTTCAAGCATTTTCTTAAAATTTCTTCTGCTTAATCATATTTTTAAATAGATATAAATGCATCAGCATGCAATAACCATGCTCTTTCTAATTCATCTCTTTCCCAACCACTTGTATCAGCTTACTTTGCCCATAACAATTTTAAAATTGTCTTTCCTTCAGTTTATTTTTTACTTAAGAATTTATTTATAGCTAAACTCAACATCGCTGGAACCCATTCTTTATTACTTTTTAATATTTGTGCCAATATAGTACTAGCCATTTCTATAGATTTTGGTATACCTGACAATTATAATACATAAGCCTACATAACCAAATATCTATAATATATAGAATTGAATATACCTTGACATACTCCCTCTATTTTAAAGTTCCTTAAGTAATTAATCACAAGCCTTTAGATTTTCTACTGCAACTGGTTTTGGTTATTCATCTGTTATTGAATAATAAAGATCTTAATCAGGATTTAAATACAAATCAATCATATAAGTCAAACTATCTTCAGCATATTATTAATGTTTCTTTGCATAATTAAATTATATCAATGCTTCTTTAGGTAAATTTTTATATTTATAATATAATCCTCTACAAAAACATAATCCTGGTTCATTTTAGTTTTATGTAGCTTTAGCACAATTATCAATAATGATTTAAATTTCATCTAATCTATTTTACTTTCTATACCAATCTATTACTTTAGATAAAGTTCCAAAAGAGTTTGGTTTCTCTTATAAGGTTTAAACAAATTATTAAATTGATTTTTCACTATCATCTTATTATAAAACTAATTCTGACAACATCATTGAAGCATAATCATTTTTTGGATTCAATTTTTATAATATTTTTAATTTTTATTCACATGAAATCTTATCACCATTTTAATAAAATGTTTCTGCTTATAACTAAATCAAACTTTCATTTGTAGGTATGAATTTAATACCATCATCTATACAATCTAATGTTGCCTTGTAATTTCTTTCATTATAAAAGAAATACCTAGCTTACTCTAAAAATATTAATCCCAATTATTCCTTTTCCTTATTTACATTAGCAGCTTCTTATTTACTTTTTTCAATAACATCTTTTTATGTTT